TCAGTCTTCTGTCTTTTTGTTCCAGTTTTTTTTTCTCACTGTTTTAAATTTTCGATCTGATATCGAGCACATATTGTTATTTGTTATCTTGAAGTTTAGGATTGATTCTATTTTATTTATATTCTCCAAAATAATCCCACTTTTGATACTGGTGTTCTGATGGTTTCTATCATTGGGTAGGTTCTTTCTGATCATTTAGTAAAAATAATGCCTGGTCCAATCCAATTAATGATAGCAAAAGAGATTTCTTTCTTTTACTGTAGTATGTAATTCTACAGCATATATCATTGATCAGCCTAACTCCCAAATAAAACTTAACAATCACATGTTAAATTTCCCCTTGTATCTAAGACACAATACAACTCAAATTAAATGGGCTGACTAACACACTCAATAATTGATCAATAACACAGATTCACTAACTGGTTAACTCTTTCTTATTTACTTAATAATTCATTCATTAACACTCGCAATATTTTCCTCCCAAAACTTCGAGACCTCATGTCAGATCTAGATATTAGATAACTTCTAGAGATAACATGTCATTATTATATAATGCCAAAACACCTTCTAGTAAAACAAACATCTATATTCAAATAATAAAAGCATGGTCTACAACATTCTATATATGGTCTATAACTTTGAAAACCTTTGAGACAGTTTTGTATTGACAGTGTTAAATCTAACAGTATTTTGGGCGATATATATGCAGCATATGTGTATATATTGGTATATTAATTACTAGTCTAAAGAAGATATATGTATGGTTTTGTTGTATAAATCGCTAGATAGATATAATTTGAAGTGTTACACGTACTACGTGTGGTTTTAGTCCCCATTTCTTGAAAAGGATATGATTGTTGGAGAGGTTTCAAAAGAGGTCTCATAGGAAGAATCTGGAGATAAAGAGTTGTCATATGAGGATAAATTAAATCTCTTAACATGCTCTTTTTTGAAAAGAGAAGGTTCACGGATGATGTCAAAGAAGTATTCAAAATTATCAAGGGAACTTATAAGATTATTGCATGATCAGGTTTTATTGTGTTGATTTCTGAGCACAATAGGGGATGAGGTAGGTCATAAATTTAAAGAGTCGATAGATTAAACACATTTCCATTGAAGATAGTTTTATTTCTTCAGTTGGTTGTAAGTCTGTGGAACAAATTTCCATCTAGAGTATTAGAGGCTACTACTTTACAGAAGTTAAAGAAAAGGACTGATGAGTAGTTAGGTGTTCAGGGCTGGATTTAGTAATTAGCTCTCTGGTTGTTAAGGGGGCATGAGAGTCAAGATGACAACAAGCTGAAATTCTACTTCACTAACAAAACTATAGATAATTAGTTACTCCAAAAATTATAGATTGATGAATAGGTTGAATTTAATAATAATACTTCCCTATGATTTCCTGTTAGTTGATGAGAAGAAATATACTGGCAGTTCATATCTGACTGTTGGAGAACAGATTAGAAAATTCCAGTGGAGAAGCAATCAGTAGGCTCTGATGATTGGCCAAGATGCTGACAACAACCTCATCATCATGGCTGGAATTAACTGTTTGACCAGCAATGGGGGTCTTTTGCATGGCCAATCAAAGACTTCATCATAGCATACAATAGTCAGTTGTTTACAAAGTTGTATCAAGTGTTGAGTGTGATAAGAATGGACACTTCCTCATAGCATACAATAGTAAATTGTTTAAAAAGTTGTATCAAGTGTTGAGTGTGTTGAGAATGTACACTTCCTCATAGCATTCCTGGTCTGATGTTTTGACTGAATGGGCAGTCCAGACTGTCTCGCAGATGCTTGCTAAGATTGTTAACCTTAACCAAACTGACTGTGACAAGAACCTATCATATTTCATGATGACAATTTATGCAACATTGCAACAGTCAACTGGTTGCTCTTCACAACTCCTGATATTTGGATGTGTAATGTATGGTCCTATATCAGTGAGAAAGTACCACAGTGTCAACAGCTATACGTGTAATGGCTGTTTTGTACAATAACTGATATGCATTAATTCACATGGTGGTAAATGCATTAAGCAGTCATATATCATAAAGAGATGTTATTGCAAAACAGTAATGAAACGAAAGTTCAAGCCCATGGCAGGATATGGTTTTCATATGTGCCTGCAGAGCAGAATCAACTTAGTTCTAGTTTGATTACTTCATATATTGTCTGTCAACAGCTCAATGCAGTGCATTACAACAGTTGCACAATGCACAAATGCATGTCAAACATGTGTGTTGACTGTGATGAGAATGGACACTTCCTTATAGCATACAATAGTCAGTTGTTTACAAAGTTGTATCAAGTGTTGACTGTGATGAGAATGGACTTGATACAACTTTGTAAACAACTGACTATTGTATGCTATAAGGAAATGTCCATTCTCATCGCAGTCAACACTGGATACAACTTTGTAAACAACTGACTACTGTATGCTATGAGGAAGTGTCCATTCTCATCACACTCAACACTTGATACAACTTTGTAAACAACTGACTATTGAAGTCCTAGATCTGTGTAAATCTCAGTTTCATGCTACTTTGCATGTCCTTTACAATGTATATTAAGATAACAGGATAATTCATCAGCATTTCTGTGATGCTGATTCAGTTGGTACTGTACAGCAAAGTTGCACTCTTGCAGCATTGTTATCCAATGATAAGTCACACCTGGGTATTTTTGAAGTTTATTTTCTATTTTAGTGACACATGTTCCACTCGAATGGTGGAAGTAATAATGGTAATGTTTGGCAAATACAACAACTGGTGTCTGTATCTAGGATGAATATACAATCTCAATGAAGATAATCTAACACTGGTGCTTCAACTTTAACTTTAAAGATTAGAATGTAAGCATTAACCTTAGTGCAGACAGTGACTATCATGGAGAAATTAACCACAAACCATCAAAAATATGAAACAAAGCTTTGAAAACTATGAACTTGTTTAATAGAAGATAAGGGCCATTTTGTCATGAAAATAGGTGAGACATTTCTTCCATTACAGCCCTTTCAGTCTACGTTCCATTATTCACTCAAAGGTTGTTAGGCATTACAGAAATGACTGGCATGACGCAGCATTCACACAGTCCTTCTTGATAGCTGAAGGGAGTCTTAGGTCTACTCTCATTATCCAATTCAACTTGCCAGTATTCAAAAGCCAGGTCTAATGCACTGAACAAATGTATACTTTCCAATGCATCCAGGCATTCATTCATCTATGGGTAGTAGAGGAAAAACAACCAATGCACGATACTGAGTTCATGTGTCTAAAATCTACAAAGGGCCTTGGCATTCCTTCTTGCTTTTTGACAGTCATTATTGGAGATGACCAAGCACTCTCTGAATGTTGTATTATCTTGTCTTTAATATCTACTTAATTTTTGTGCTGGATATATCCCTGGTACTCCAAGGAAACCTTTCAGTTGTTGTTTTACCAGGTGTGATCTACCTGTATCTATGTAATAATGTATGATTGTTATCTAACTCTATTGGCCATCTTGTCACACAATATCATCAGCAAACTCCTTGAGCAATTCACTGAGTTTATGTTTGTATTGAGTTCAAATTGTTTGCAAAGTAGTGGCTTAATGTGGAGCACCTAGTATTTAGCAGAGTTGAGCAAGGTTTTAGCTTCTTCATTATTCATTAATAATTCAACCTCATGCCCATTTATCATTATCAAAATCTACCATGAGATGCTATGTCCATTATTTTCTAAACCAGTTACAATAACTTCAGATATGAGCTGACAGATGCACTTGCTAAGTTGACAGCCAGACCCAACTAGTTAAAATTAGTAGGTGCTGCAGCACCTAATTTTGTTACTTACCTTCCCACATTTGTTCTAGTTTTAACCTGAATGGCGTGTGTGTATCTTGATGGTCTCTTCTTACAACAGGATGTGGACATTCCTACAACTGTTGACCAGTTATGCAACAGTTGAAGCAGATGCTCCTTCCCTTATGACTATGACATTTTTTGGGGTATAGCTTCAACTGCAGTCTTAAGTCCTATGTAGACAACTCTCCATACTAAATGTTACAACATGTATATTACCCATACACATTCGTATGTTATGAAAGGTATGTTCCAATAACAACAGGTATTTTCCCCCTCTTGGTCCTAATCTTGAAATCACATAAATGGCAACATTTTCTGTGAACTATTGCTGGGTTAAAGTTTGAAAGTCAAGATGATAGAAAAAATCACAATTATTACAAAGTGAAACCTAAATTTGTAAATCTATGGATAAACTACATATATTGTACATGTATACTTATGTTTCACTCTTATTTTAATGAAATATTTATACAACTGAGAAGCAAAAGGAAATTTCAATTATTTGGTCAACTTTTGCAACATATATATTTAGCTACATAGAGTAAATTTGGCTTTTCTGAGCTGAATAGTAGAACAAACTAACTACTGCTAGTATATATACATTAGACATTATATTTACATAAATATTAAAATACATGTTAGCATGTATTTTTTCCCATAGGCTAGTGATACACATCCTTTAAGTAAACATCCCAGTGTATATGTGTGGGATTAAAAGGACATTGTTAATATATTGTTAATCTTGAAATAGCAGTGTCTTAAAAGAAATACTCTCTGTTTAAATGCATTAATAGTAAAAGCACAAAAACAAGTCTTGAAATAATTATACTTGTTATTTATGATTTTGCATCACCATTATTTGTAGTTGCTGCACTTGTTAATAATTACATTTAAGAATATTCTATTTATGCTTTATGTGCTACAGCTCACATAAACCTAAAAGTATGTTGGAGATGTAAAATATGGCTCAATCATATATAAATATGTAAATATATAAAAGTGGTTATACACATTGTTATCTGATTAAACTTAATATTAAAGTTAAAAATGTTTTTATAATATTCACTTTGGTGATCCCAATATACAATAATGTTTTACATTGATATTCTAACTTCACTTTCTTTTGTAGATATACTAAAGTAAAATAATGACAGTTTCATATTCTAAACACGTTTCTACTTCTCATGGATTTGGCCACTTTTGGAAACTTCTATTTAGGTAGGTTACCAGACATTAAGTTTCTTGAAAATGTGGATGAAATATAAGTTCTGTAATTTTCATTAAAACTTTTGTGTTGACAAGTAAAAAGATAAAAATAGCAAGAAAGAATTCTCTAAACTGATCTGTTTGTGATAAGTCTTAGTCTTAAGTAATGACTAAATTTTTATTTCACTTTTATGAACACGATCCTCAGTGGACATTCTTCGAGCAATAAGAGAATTTGCTAAAAACTGGCTTGAATTTGTATGAGAACTTTTCATTTGATGATATGAAATTATTTCTAGTTCTTTATTTGTTTTGACCTATAGCATGGCAATTTCTGAATTTAAAAACATCCTGGGTTGTACATGTGATCACCTTTTTATTAAAATTTTATTATGTTATGAAACAATGTAATTGTTTTATCCATTAATTATTTGTGCATAATATTAAAACCTTAGTGTTTTTAAGTGGACTTTTTCTTTTAGACATTAGATTTATTGTTGGAAAAATTGGATTTAAAAACTCTAGAATCTAAGGAAATGGCATAAAGTCAAAAAACTGTAGCCTTACCATTTACTTTAGCCAATGTGCTGTATGGGAAAAAGTTTAAAAAAGAAAGGATACATTGCAGACCAAAGGCAAACACACATTAGAAAAATATGTATAAGTCGGTTGGTTTTAAAAACATTAGGTATTTATTTGATTTACAAAAAACAGATAATGATCTGTCCAAATATTGACAATCATAAGTTACCAAGCTGTACAGTTTTTAGTTTGTATGAGATAGCAGTATTTTGTGAAAAACTAAGAAAATTATTTCTAATTCATTAGAAATCTGTCTTTTGCACATCACATGTTAATAATGCCTCATAGTGGCTCAGCTGTAAGACTGAAGGCTTATAATACTAAAAACCAGGTTTTGATACTCGTGGTGGGCACAGGATAGATAACCTATTGTGTAAACATGTGTTTAACTACAAAAAAACAAGCCTGTAAATAAAATAGCAAACTGAGTAATTTATAGAAATTCCAGTGCATAAACCTTATTGAGAATTTATGGACAACTTGAAGTATATATTATGATCAGTTAACAACTGGATAATTACTCTCTATATATTATTATACCAGAGTAGATTGAATTACATATGTCTAATATTTCTGCAATTTATACTTTAAATTATTTGTACATGTAGTAGCTAGATAACTTTGATCATGTGATTTTTCAGTATTAACAAGTATTTAAACAATATATGACTTTCCCAAAAGTACATGCAGTTTACAGATCTCTTTATTCAGTATGTTCATTTTATGAACTTGTTCAGTATTTTTTTTTCACTGTTTTTTTATTAGATGGAGAGGAAGTATTTACAAGTTATTGTGGCCAGAACTGTGTTTATATGTTTTTCTGTATTACACATTAAACTTAACCTATCGACTTATCCTCAGTGAACATAACAAAAGGTTAGTCATTTATTTTTCATATTCCAAAACATTTGGGCTTGTATGTATACTTGCTAATTGGTATTATATTATGTGAAAAGGCATTTCTGATATTGGAATTTAAATAATTGTTCATAAACTACAAATCACTATAGCTGTGTGATCATGATATAGAAATAGGGTAATTAAGAAAATAAAAAAGTGTATATGTACAGTTTAAAGGATATAGTCATTGTTTTAGTTCATTGTTTCCACAAAGGTAATACTGGGAGTTCGAGAGCTATTTTATTTAATTAAATAATGCACGGAAGGCCACAGAATAATAACATGTAAAAAGCTGAGAGCATTCTGTAACTGTCACAATTTTTCTGGCTCTCTAAGTATGTGAGAAAAGCTGTTAAAATTCAGCTAAGCTCCTCGAGGTGTTCACGTGGGAAAAAATTTGGAACATAATATCAATAAAGCAACATCAACCATCTCATTAAACAAGTAAATTTTTTAATACTGCTGTTCTTTCAATTGCACACTCAGTTATATATGTCTTTTATTTGATAGTGAAAAATGGGAAAACAAGTTAATTATTAGTTAATAAAAACTGTTTGTTGGGTAGACAGAATCTTCCAAAAACATTGGGTCTGTGGGGAAAAAATAATAATAAAAGGGGTCCTTGGTGGTGAAAAGGTTGGGAACCACTGTTTTAGTTTATAAAATAAAATTAAGGTTGAAAAATGAGATTTTAAATTTGAAAAGATACACATATATGCACAAATTACGTTATAGAAATATATGGTATGAAAAGTTGAATGTTGTAATTGGTATTAATATATAAGATAGGCATGTCAAATTAAAATGTACCCTAGAGTTAAAGGAGTTCATAATATTACTGATAAGTCACAAATACTCACACCACCATATACTTGTGCTATTAATGGCTTGTGATAAATGACAGAATTGTAAAAGAAGTTTTGGGGGAAATTTTCAGATGTCAAAAGGATATATCAGTGAATAATAAAATCTGAACAATAAGGCCTATTTCCTACTTCTGACAGAAAGAATACAGAATTTTCTTACAAAAAGAGAAATAAGTGGCTTCAATTAGCTATTGTAACTATAATAACTCTTACATGTAACTTACAAATATTATTTTATTTTTAAATTTGCATGAGACTTCAAAAATGTAAGTTTAAAATATTTTTTATACAGATGAGATTATGTCTCAAACTTCCAATGAGACCATACATGTTTTTGCTAGTATTATGCGAAGTATTCCTTAAACTCAGAAAAATAAATTATGATATTTAAACTAAGATCTCAAGAAAGTTGAGTGAAAGAACAGAGAAACGCTTAACAAAATGAAACTAGGTATCCATGCCTGAAGCCTTACACGAATGGTAAGAAGACAAAATGCACAGCTTTATTTTTACAAAGTATTGAAATATTTTCTTCCTTTTTAACAAATTCTTGCATACTATAACTATCATTCATAATTTCACTAAAGGTATTTTTCTTTTGTGCATTTTGTGTGGTGTCATTATACATCAAGTGATTGAGAATTATATCTATACATTAAAGCTACTATATTGCAGAGTGTTATTTATGCATTGATTATACACTGGTACATGCTTTAGATTTTAAGATCATAATTCACACATTGCTTGAAACATTTTGCAAAGAATTAAGTTATTTTTTCTTTCAGATTCAGATGTATGTTGGCACATAATCATTACATGACATCTGTTAATAATAACTTACAAGTTTCCTACTGGTTGTGCAACCATCATGTTTAAGCTTAAACTAAACTGTATGATGTAATTCAAGCAGCATCACATGCTATATATGAGATGTTTATTGTTGATGATCTTGTGCTAGGGTGGGAGTCAAAGTGTGCTTGCCTCAATCTTTTTGTATTAGAGTTATCCACTATTCATTTTACATTACTCATTTGGTGACAGTTCATGGTAGAGAAGATTAAATACCAAATACAATATACAGAGATACTGAAAAGAACAGTAAACTTGCAATTTACAGATTATAGAGGCTATGCACATACATTATGCAAACTGTATGATGGACAAAAGTATTTTTTATTCTTCACATGAACATCACCTAGCACCAAGGGTAGAGTGGACTCTAAAATTCTATCAAGAAAAAAGCTAGAGGGGGGTCCACACATTTTTTATAAAAAATATGTAAGAAGTTTATGTAATTTAATGTTAAAACACTGATCATGTTCACAAGATCAGCATATAATTTTGAGAATACAGAAAAGTCCTTCAAAAGATAGGAGATAACGTATCCAATAGAAATATTGCCAAGTAAGTACTTTTTGATGTACATCATTATTGGTAGAATTAACAAACAAGTTATTTAAAATGTCAGTGTGATGGCTAGACAAATAATTATTTCTATATTGTGCTGATAGAGCATTAATGTATTTTTTAGGTATTTTCCCAGGGGGTCCACCGGGATTTTTCCCAAAGTCTTGTTGGACCAATCCACGCTTACCAGTACCTTGACTCATTAAACTCTGAGTCAGGTTGACATTGTCAATTCACAGAAATATTGTTGCATATCTGCTTGTTTGTTAATTTCCGGTAGAATTTCTTTCCGAGGAACTTCAGCGATACAACTCCCTTCTTGATTAAACCAGTTTATTCTAACTCGATACAAACTTTTAGTAAACAGTAATTCCACAGTCAGTACATTTCTCGTCACTTTAAACTTAATTACTTTTATAATACACGCTATAATTCACAGTGATTCATAATCACGATAATTTTGCTTTCTACGAGTGCAAAACACTAGCTCGAAACAGAATCGTAAGTTACCCTGAACTCCCTTCATTCATTTCCGCAGGCTTTCTCTGCCAGGCTTATAAACTAAAGAAGGGGGAATCTCGAATATACTCCGGCCTCCCCAATCATTCATGATCATTCAAGAAATTTCACGCGCGTGTCACCAGTATGACGTGACTTCCGCTGTCGTAACGATATCTTAAGTACAAATACATACTACTCTAACACATATGATTTTTTGTGTACAACAAACTACTATATACATTCTACAAAAACGTTTGTGGCATTTCACATAGTAAATTCGGAATTGGAGTCAACATTCCCTCGTCAATATCAGGTCGCCCATTGGACTGACCCTGTGAATAATTGGTTATTAATTGTAAACCTGTAACATCGATGTATGCTGAGTGGCAGTATATAAATACTTAAGTGCCAACTCCATTATGCAAACTGTATGTTTTCTTTCTCAATACAAACTTTTAGTACACAGTAATTCCACAGTCAGTACGTTTCTCGATACACCAAATGTGTATGTCAAATTTCAGCATAAATAGTACATGAATAGCCTTGTGTGAGTAATCTTCATGTGTTAAAAAAATTTCGGGATGACTCAGTTGTATCCTTATTTAGCTTATTAAAGCTATTGTTTATTATCTAGTTATACATAGTACAGAACATGATTATCACAACTATTAACTATGTTGCAAATGCAGAATGCAACTTTGCAACTTATGTGTGTTAATGCAATTTAATACCAAGTTATTATATTGTACATGAATAAACAGCATAAAGAACTTTGTTTTGGCTATCTATAAAATGTTTAACATATTGTTGCGTATCTGCTTGTTAGGACTACACAATATTTTGACAGTCTAGCAAACTGTCGTAACAATATCATTCCAAACATAGCAGTGTAAAAATTACTATAATGTTTTAAATTTTCAGCATCTTAATTTTTTCATAATGCATAAACTTGACATTTAACTCTTTGATATTTGTTACTATCGTTTATGCAGGTATTACCCTGTAGGTTTTAATATACTGTTACGCCTCTGGTCATTCGTTAATTTCCGGTAAAAAAATTTTCCAGAGGAACTTCAATGATACAA